TGAACCCACGCCGTCATCATACTGTGCTCCTGCAGCCACTGCAAGAGCCGGGACAGCAGGCCGCCTCGTCCTCTCTCCTGCAGCTCCTCTGGGGAAGGGCGGGTGCCTCCGAGCCCTATGTTTGGGCCTGGCACACACCAGGCACTCCATAGGTGTCAGTCAAACCAGCGAATCAGTGCCTCAAGCAGTAGAGCTTGTGCCTAATATGTGCTCACCATGTTCATCGGAGCATGTTCACAATACCAAGAGGTGGAAAAACCTGTGTGTCCGTCGATGGAACAATAAGGACAGGTGGTACATGCGCTCAGTGGAGCAGTATTTATCCCCAAGAAAGAAGGAAATCCTACCATTTACAATGGCATGAATGGACCTGGAGGGCACTACATTGAGTGAGGTAAGTCCGTCAAAGACAAATACTGTGTGATCTCACTTATATGTGGGATCTAAAAGAGTCAAACTCATAGAATGAGAGTAGAGCAGCAGTTACCAGGGGCTGCGGGGAGGACAAAAGGGGGCTAATAGTCAAAGGCACAGTTTCTGTTATGAAGGTGGCTAAGTCCTAGAGACCTATCACACAGCAGAGAGCCTATAGCCAATAATACTGTATTGTGTATTTAATACTTGCTGAAAGGGTGGAGGTAATGTTTGGTGTCCTTATTACACACATACAAGATACAATAATAATAATAATTAATAATGAAGATGATGTTGGAGTGAGGCAGGGAAGGGGCAAGAGAACTAAATGTTAAATTAAGCTACATTCAGAGACTGCAACATGCTGACTAGCCCTGCAGCCAGGCCAGGAGGACACCTGCAGAACAAAGGAAGGTTTCTGTTGGGATTGCTAACAGCCCATTCTCCAAAGCTGTGAAAGGGAAACAGGAACCAAGAGTGATTCCCTATGGCTAAAATCACAGGGACCCTCATAGGCTTGGAACTGCCAGAAGGCCTTTCATGCTTCATATTCTTACCTTTTCATGCTACATACTCTTCCCCTTCCTCACTGTATGTCCATATCAAAGAAAATGGGTTAACAAAGTCTTTGAGCTGTAACTCACAGGAACTAAAGAATGACACATAAACTGCATTCCCTGAACTCGTGTTCATTGTCTTTCTCTACGTCTTAGTCTCTTACTTTCACTGTCTTTCTCAGTGTCTTTCTCTCTCGGTTTCTCTCACTCTCTGCCTCTGAGAGAAGACCACACTCTGTCTGTGGAGTGTTACCCCTTCTTTGATAAACTTTCCTTTTGACTCTAGCTTTGGCCTGTGTGTTGATTCTTTCTACACTCTCCACCAAAAGACCCTCTTCTTCTCTCAGTGTAGGACTTGGTCTCCCCCCGACTCCAGGAAATTTGCCCCATCCTGCATCAAGAAGAAACTTTAGGAGTCGATAAATGTATTTATGGCCTTGATGGTGATGGTTGCATGGGTGTATAATTACCTCAATAAAACTACTAAACAAATAACAGGCGATAAAGGGAATCTGCCTGCCAGCCTTTCTCTATACTGAGAGAGCATGCTGTATGTGGGTCATGCTCTTGATCTTCTGCCTATCAGCTCTGGGGGGATTCCCCAACCCACGCCCCTTCTGTTGTCTCGACATTCACAGAGAGTCAGAGGGCACTTGAGTGAACATCAGTGGGTCCCCCCTCCTCACCATAGAGAGGCCACACTTCTCTAGCTGCATCCAGGCTCAGCTTTGAGAACACTGTTCGGTTTGGAAAATCCAGAGATGTAACTGTCAGTCTCTGCCTTTGCCTGTGATGCAATCTTGTTCACCCCACACCATGACCACATCCTTCCTGTCCTGCTGGGCTGCGACAGCTATAAGCTCATCAAGTTTCTTCTCGGGCTATCCCTGAGACTGGTGTCTGGGTGAGTCCAGCTCTACGGAGCGTGGTGGCCAGATGGGTCTGGGGAGGCATGGGGACAGTGTTTCCAGGGCCAGAACTTGCCAGCCTCCAACTCTGTCCTTCAACAATGGTTCTGGAAGGTTCTTTTATACTTATCGTTATTTGGGCTGTATGTGTGAAGTGCATGTGTGTGGGGGAGAGTGAGGACAGGGGCAGCAATCTCAGCTTACCCCCAAGCACTCCCCAGGGAGCAGTGAGTGGGTGCATAGGAGGAAATGAGCAGCCTTAGAAACCGAGAGACAGAGGAGGTAGAGGTCAGAGTGGAGTGTGCCAGGGTTAGGGGTGGGGGGCACGAAGGAGGACTGGCACTCAGATTTGGATGGGAGGACTGGTAAAGTGGGACGGGTGTGTCTGCGAAGCTGGTGGATCTGTCTGGAGATGATCCCCCTGTTGCCAAATGCACAAAGAGTTGGACTTGGGCAGCACCGAGGCCAGACATGGAGGCAAGAATTGAAACAGAAGGCTTACGAGCATATTTGGTGTCATGAACATTAAACCCTGGTTGTTATGAGTCGTGGCTTGGAGACTTGTGCTGCTTCTCAGGGTCTCTCCCTCCCGTTAGCCTCAGTTATGGCTCCGGGCAGATGCAGTGCTCTTCCTGGTTCAGTAATATGAAGGGACCAAGCCTCAGACAAAGTCCAAGCCTAGGAGGTGTGGCAGAGTCAAAGATGTAGCAGCTGGTTTCTAGTCTTATGGGCTTGGAGTCTAACCAGGAAAACTGAGTGGGTGAGCGTGGCAGTGAAACTGTGCACACTAAGTGCTGGGAAACCACTTTTGTTATTAACCATGGGGTTCACTGTCTCTGATCACATTTGTTTGCATCTGGCTGAGATAACTAGCTAAGTGGGGGAGCCCGTGGCCTCACACCTTGTTAGGCTGAGAAGAGTGCAGTGTAAAGAGCACCAGCTCAGGAATCCACGAGCCTGGTACAAATCCTGGCCTTGTCCCTTTCTGGCTCCAAAACTTTGGGCCAGCTGCTGAGCCTTGCTCAGCCTTAGCCTCGGAGTCTGCCCTTCATGCCAGTGCACACTCACCCCACATGGCCTGGTGCAGAGGGGAGTGCTGCGAAATGCTGTTGGCCAACGTGACACGCTCATAGTGTCATGGTGAATTTTACGGAGGATGGTGGTCCCCAGGCCCAACACCCTGTCACTGTGGTTTCCAAGGGCTGTCGTGGACCAGCCTTCCCGCTCACCCAAGTCCCCTCTAGCCGAAGCCACGGTTATTCATTTCCTGGCTTTCTTTTGTCTCTCATCCGTGTCTCCTTGGGCCAAAAAAGAGCAAAGAACCGGAGTCTTTCAGCGAGCAGGAACCTAGGGACTATTTTCCACACTCTGCCATTTTACAGAGGAGGAAACAGAAGTTGAGGGGTGCTGACACGCTTGCCCAAGGTCGCACAATGAAGTGGTCAAACAGGCCGAGATCTCAGGCAGCAATGGGAGGCATGACAGGTGCCCGTGTGGGCATCTGTGACCCTGCTGGGTGTTTCTCTCCACAGGGCACCTTTTTTCACGCTCTAACACTCTCTGGGCAGAACCACGAGGGAACCCTGGGAGTGAAGAGTGCAGTGGCTCGTTTTGCAGGACAGAGTGATGATGCTTTCCCTTTCGGTCTCCGAGTTCAAGGTCGGTTAGTTCTCCCCGAGGGCAGACTTTGAAAGAGACTCCAGCCACCCCCGCCACTCCGCTACCCACCTCCCAGCGTGGCCCTATGTCCCCTTCCCGGCCAGGGCTAGTGAGCATGGCCAGTGTCCGCTGCAAGCTGGCTCGCTACCTGGAGGACCTGGAGGATGTGGACCTGAAGAAATTCAAGATGCACTTGGAGGACTACCCACCTCAGAAGGGCTGCACTGCGCTTCCCCGGGGCCAGACAGAGAAGGCGGACCCAGTGGATCTGGCCACCCTGATGATTGACTTCAATGGGGAGGAGAAGGCCTGGGCCATGGCTGTGTGGGCGTTTGCTGCCATCAACCGTAGAGACCTGTATGAGAGGGCCAAGAGGGAAGAGCCGGAGTGGGGTGAGTGCAAGGGGGAGAGCTGGAGTGGGATGAGGGATGAGCCAGAGAGTGGTGAGTTTGCGGTAGAGAGGGGTTGGGGGGAAGGGGGAGCGGCAGGCTTTAAGCTGTGATGAGACACACATGACCTGAAGTTGGCCATCCTAGCTGTTTCTAAGCATGTGGTGCAGCTGTGTGAAGTGTGGTCCCATTGTGCAGCCACTCCAGCGCATTCTTTTCGTCTTGCAGAACTCCGCCCCATTAAGCAGCACTCCCCCTCAGCCCCTGGCGACCACCACTTTCTCTCTCCGTGCATTTGACCACTCTTGGAACCTCTCATAAGTGGAGTCTTACAGGATTTGCCTTTTAGTGGTGACTGGTTTATTTCACTCAGTATCATGTTCTCGAGCTTCATCCATGCTGTTGCATATGACAGCACTTTATTACCTTTTAGGCATGATGGTACATATATACCGCATTTTGTTTAGCCATCTGACATCACTAGACTTTCAGATTGTTTCTAGCTTTACATTTTTGTGAATGATGTGGCTGTAACATGGGTGCACGAATCTCTTCCAAGACTCTGCTTTCAATTCTTTTGGGAGTGTGTCTGAAAGTGGAATTGCTGGGTTATATAGTAATTCTATGTTTAATTTTTTAAGGAACTGTTACACTGTTCTCTGTAGAGCCTGCACCATTTACCACCACAGTGCACAGTTTCCAGTTTCTCCACATCCTCGCCAACACTTATTTTATGGGTTTTTTTTTTTTTTTTGATAGCAGCCATTCTAAGGGATGTGAGATGATGTCTCACTGTGAATTTGATTTGCATTCACTACTGACTAGTGGCATTGAGTGTCTTTTTATGTCCTTTCTGGCCATTTATCTTTGAAGCAATGTCATTCAAGCCCTTTTCCCATGTTTTAACTGAGTTGCTTGTCTTTTGTTGTTGACTTCTAGGAGCACTGTGTATATCCTATACATTAACCTCTTATAAGATGTATGATTTACAAATCTTTTTCTCCCATGCCGTGGGCTGCCTTTTTCCTCTGTTAATGATATCCTTTGATGCACCAAACTTGGTATGCTCGTTTTTAGTCATTTTTAAAATTGTTTTGGCTTCTTCCTCTTTCTTCCCGTCACGATAGTACTATGAGAAGGTGGAATAAAGCAGTTTACCATTTTCTAACTCCTTTAGAAACCAAGGTCAGGGCTCATGTACCCCTGGGGCTCTTCCCTGGTTAGTCCCACTTGATTCAAATCTCTCCTGTGTCTAAAACTTCCTCCAGGTCTCTATCCAGCCACTCATGTGTCTGCCTGCATGGTCAACTAGCTCGAGTCTCAGCTCCCGAGGCCCTGGGGCAAGTGCTCTTCTTATAGAACAATGCGATGTGCGAGGGAAGCCTCTGCCACGGCCATCACTTTGGATGTAGGGGTGGTGGCGGGGAGGACTTTCTCTTCATCCCTGTGGTGGGGTGAGGTCCTTCCTCCTGGCTGGTGTTCTGAGCAAGGGAGGGGCACAGGAGGGCTCCGAGGAATGCACAAGTTTACAGGTGATGAGCTGGTGGAAAGGAACCAGCAGTCAAGAGCAGAACGGTGAGAGAGGGCAGCAGTGTGGGTGTGACAAAGAAAGAGAAATGCTTTGGGGGCATGGGAGGGTGCAGCAGTGGGTGTTCTAAACATATCGTGTATAATAACATAATAATAACTGTGGCGGTATTTACATGCTCAGTAACCAACTTAAAGTATAACAATCATAGTTGCAGAAGTAGTTAGCTAAGCACTTTTTATGGATTTTATTCATTCCTCACAAGAAGTCCACTGAGGTCAGCACTTTCAAATGAATTTTCAATTTCATATACTAACTGCAGTAAGCCAGTCACAAAAAGACAAATACTGTGTGATCCCCTTTTTAAGAGGTCCCTAGAGTCATCAAATTTGCAGAGACAGAAAGTGGTGGTTAAAATGGAAAGTTATTATTTAATGGACATGGATTTTCAGTTTTACAAGATGAAAAAATTCTGGAGATTGGCTGCCCAACAATGCGAAGTGGGCTGGAAGTTATGGCTGCCTGGGGCTGCTTGCTCGGTGCCAAGGCCAGGACTCAGCACCAGGCATGTCTTTGGCTGAAGCCTGGCTCCTGGCCACTGGGACATCTTGGCTTCCGTATCTGGGTTTTGAGATCCTATTATAATAGCATTTGCACTCAGAATAAGTAGACGCCTAGTCGGAGTCCTTCATCTTGCTCTCGGGTTCCTGCCCATCTGAGTTATCTGTACCACGTACTTCCCCCAGTGCCTCTTGTTCTACTGTATGCAGATTTCTCCCAGAAAATGCTTCTGTGGGATGTGTCATTCAGTGACTGCTTAGATCTGTTGTCTTAGCTGTGAGCTCAAGTTGGAGCTTTTAAAATGAAGTAGTGCCCGGGTTCCACCTCAAATAGGTTAAAAAGGAATCACAGGGTTGGAGTACTGAGATCAGGTTACTGCACTGCTATTTAGACATGAACCAGATTGATTATTCTCACTCTTGAAGACATAGAAGGTGAGTAAGATGGATTCCAGGTGTTTGTGGCCAGGGAGGGATGATCCTGCTGGCCCATGGCCATTGTGGGGAAACTGAGGAACCTGGGGATGGCCTCAGCAACAGAAGACCAGAGGGACACTGACTAAGACATACAAAGAGAAGAGAAACCTGCCTGCCGCACATGTTTACTGGTTGATTTCTGGGCCTGGGAGAGAGATTTTGAGACTGCATTCAGTGGGGATGCAATGCTCAAAGGTTAGATTGACGCCACTGCTTTAAAATTAGGGCGGCGGCACACTCCCAGTGGCCTCTGGCTACAGAGCTGTCATCCGCATCTGAGCCCTATTTTGGTTTGAGAGATGTCCAGGCAGGTGCGTTTGACCTTTGCCAGGTGTTAGGTCTCAATTATATCCCCTTAGTCAGGAGTCCTAGTTTTTAACATTCTGTGTTTTTTTTTTTTCCTTTTATTTTCAGATAACTCATATGTTTCTGTGGTATGCCGGGCAGAAAGCCTTGAAGAGGAGTGGATGGGTTTGTTGGGGTACCTTTCCAGAATCTCTATTTGTAAAAAGAAGAAAGGTAAGCACAGGGGTGGTGCTCACAATTGGGTTTGGGAGGCACTGTGAGTCTGGGGACTCACATGCTCTTGCTCCTTTGTGTGAAGGCCTACCTCGGGAAATCAGCTACAGCCAAACACATGGGAACATGTGTGCCTGGCTCCTGGCAGCTCCTTGGAGATCATGGAGTGTTTTGGATTTTAAAAGTCATGGGCTGCAGACTACCTAAAGGAGTAAGGCTGAATAAGAGAGATTTCCGGCCATGGGCAGTGCACAAGAAATTTGCAGTTCTTCCACTCACTGTGCGTGGGAAGATTTTGCCACCCCAGATTCTCTGGGTCCCTCCGTACCCTGGTGGTGGGAAAGAACCGCACCTCCCACTGCTTAGTTCCAGTTGTTATTCCCCACGGAGCGTAGGCCAGGTGGCCAGGTGGATGTGCTCAGGCTTCCCCCAATGTCTAACTTCATGTCTCCACCGCAGATTACTGTAAGAAATACAGGAAACACGTGAGAAGCAGGTTCCAGTGTATCGAAGACAGGAATGCCCGTCTGGGTGAGAGCGTGAACCTCAATAAGCGCTACACCAGGCTGCGTAAGGCCCGTGGGTGAGAGCGTGAACCTCAATAAGCGCTACACCAGGCTGCGCCTCATCAAGGAGCACCAGAGCCAGCAAGAGCGAGAGCACGAGCTTCTGGCCATTGGTGGGACTTTGGCCATGACACGAGACAGCCCTGTGAGCTCTATGAGCTTGGAGCTGCTGTTCGAGCCCGAGGACCAACATGCTGAGCCCGTGCACACAGTGGTGCTCCAAGGCTCGGCGGGCATTGGGAAGACAATCCTAGCCAGGAAGATCATGCTGGACTGGGCATCAGAGAAGCTCTACCAGGACAGGTTTGACTACTTGTTTTACATCCACTGCCGGGAGGTAAGCCTTGGGACGCAGAGGAGCCTGGGGGACCTGATAGTCAGCTGCTGCCCCGACCCCAATCCACCCATCAGCAAGATTGTGAGAAAGCCAGCCAGGATCCTGTTCCTCATGGATGGCTTCGACGAGCTGCAGGGTGCCTTCGATGAGCACACGGAGGCACTCTGCACCGACTGGAGGAAGGTGGAGAGGGGAGACGTCCTGCTGAGCAGCCTCATCAGGAAGAGGTTGCTCCCCGAGGCCTCCCTCCTCATCACCACGAGACCCGTGGCGCTGGAGAAGCTGCAGCACCTGCTGGACCGTCCGCGGCATGTGGAGGTCCTGGGTTTCTCAGAAGCGAAGAAGAAAGAGTACTTCTTTAAGTATTTTGCAGATGAGCAGCAAGCCAGAGAGGCCTTCAGGTTGACGCAGGAGAATGAGGTCCTGTTCACCATGTGCTTCATCCCCCTAGTCTGCTGGATTGTGTGTACTGGGCTGAAGCAGCAGATGGACAGTGGCAAGGGCCTTCCTCAGACGTCCAAGACCACCACTGCTGTGTATACCTTCTTCCTCTCCACTTTGCTGCAGTCGCGGGGAGGCTGCCCGAAGCGCCCCATCTCTGCCAACCTGCGGGGCCTCTGCTCACTGGCCGCAGATGGGATCTGGAACCAGAAGATCCTGTTTGAGGAGGGGGACCTGAGGAGCCATGGCCTGCAGAAGGCGGATGCATCCGCATTCCTGAGGGTGAACCTGTTCCAGAAGGAGGTGGACTGCGAGAAGTTCTACAGCTTCATCCACATGACCTTCCAGGAGTTCTTCGCTGCCATGTACTACCTGCTGGAGGAGGAGCAGCACGGGGTAGGGGACGAGTCAAGGGGGCCTTTGGAGCCTCCCGACCGGGACGTGACAGTCCTTCTCGAAAACTACGGCAAATTTGAAAAAGGCTACTTGATTTTTGTTGTCCGCTTCCTCTTTGGCCTTATAAACCAGGAGAGGACATCCTACTTGGAGAAAAAACTGAGTTGTAAGATCTCGCAGCAAATCCGGCTGGAGCTGCTGAAGTGGATTGAGGCCAAAGCCAAGGCGAGGACCCCACAGGCCCAGCCCACACAGCTGGAGCTGTTCTACTGCCTGTACGAAATGCAGGAGGAGGGCTTTGTGCGCAGGGCCATGGGCCACTTCCCCAGGGTCGAGGTCAGCCTCTCCACCAGGATGGACCACGTGGTTTCTTCCTTCTGCATAGGGAACTGTCACAACATGGAGTCGCTGTCCCTGAGGCTGCTCCATGACTCACCCAAGGAGGAGGAGGAGGAGGAGGAGGGGGACGGGGGCTGCCCTACTGTGGGCCAGTCCATCCTCCTAGACCCCCGCTCAGCTTCTTCTTGTAGGTAAGGAGATGGCCCAGGCAGGGGGCCCAACCCTCCGCCTCCTGGCCCCCTTCTCTCAACTCCCTGCCCTCTCCCCCCTGCTCAGCCATCTTTCAGTGCAGCTGCCACAGCTACACGGTAATGCCGCCCCCATTGCTAGAGGAGCCTTCATTGTCAGAATGACTAGCAGAAGAAGGGCAGGTGGAGCAGTGGCAGGAGAGAAAAGCCAACGAAACGACAAGCAAATGTGCAGTGGACGCCAACTCAGCACAAGGTGCCAAGTGGGGTAGAAAGCTGAGTGAAACGTCTGTGAAGCCAGGTTGCTGTAACCCCCTTGGGGTTCCTATGTGTCAGCACCTGAGGAGTGGGCCCCCAGAGACTGTCTCAGGAACAGAGGACAGAGACCCTTAGTGCTGAGCCTGTGGGGTTGCCAGAGGAGTGGGTCTGAGCCTGCAGTGAGGGGCTGGCGGATGAAGTTGAGTGCAGGGGAAGGCAGGGCAGTGGAGTCTGTGAGAATAGGTCACCAGCGTAGTCTGAAGAAGATTGTGTGTAGGAGCCCACGGGAGGGACACACAACTTCATTGGCACAAACAAAACCAGGGACATCGAGGACAGTTGGGCAAGAAAGGAGAACACTCCTGTGTTTGCAGCCAGACAGTCACCCCTCAAGTTCTGTTCCCTTACTCTCTGGGGCTGGAAGCCAGCTGCCCTGGGGACAGTGAAGCAAGAAGTACCTGCAGGGAGCCACCCCAGCTGCAGTGGCTGAGGGAAGATGGAGCTCTGTGGGTGCATGGGTGTGACCTCTGTGAGAGACAGCAGACATGGGGCAGAAGAAAGGAGAGCAGGGGCCAGGCCTCCTGTAAAGCAGTCTTCAGTTCTCCTCTCTGCCTCCATCTGCAGGGACGGGAGAGCCATCAAGGACACCTCTGGCTTCAGTGGTGGCTAGGAGCCCAGTTTTGTTGTAGGGAGGGCTGGGAACACAGGCAGAGTGCCTTGACTCATGAGGGAGCTGGTCCTGGGAATGGAGTGTGGGGTGAGGAGTGAGGGCACACAGACCAGGAGCTACAGGTTCAGGGTGAGATGGGCCAGCGGAGTGGGTCTCTGACAGGAATAACCCAGAATAGCAAGAAAGCAGATGGGAGAGGCGGACAGAGAGAGGGAGTGAGAGGAGGGGTGCAGACCCACTCACTGGAGCCCAAAAAGCAAGGCGACAAACGAGGGGCTGGCTGCCCAACACCCAGGCTGTGAGAGGCTCACAGAGACTCTGAAGGACTCCTGATGACAGCTCTGTTTCCCTGAGGGCAGCACTAGCATTCTATGTTCTAGAGCCTTCCCAGGGCCAGTGGCATGAGCATCCACCCTGTGTCTGTTAGGAGAGCAGAATCAGCCCCAGTCCCGTGGAGTCAGAAACTGCATTTTAACAAGCACTGAACATGGGACTCACAGAGCTGCTAGAGACACAGGCGTGCCTGGCTCTGCTCTGGCCTGGCGCTGCTCCCACTGTGGCCTGGCCTTGGGGTTCCCGGAGCACCTCTGCTGCCCATGAGTAACCAAGGTGAGAGCTAGTCTCTGGACCCCTTAGCAGAGTGTCCAGAGCCACGGGAGACAGAGGAAGACACCTGCGGGGGTAGCCAGAGGGTGTCCGTGGCCAGCCAAGGTCACAGGCTCACACTCCCTACCCTGGTGTGCAGGATGCCTTTTCCATTCCTCAGTGGTCAGTCTGCACTCTGTGACTCATTCCTTCATCCCTGGGGGCCTTTGTCTCAACTGGTACCAGCCACCCCTGGCCTTTGGCCCCTTGTTGTTCTAACAGACTGACGCTTCTCCTCTTCTTCTTCCCTTCCTATTTCCAGATTGGTGAACTGCTGCTACCTTCCTCCCAGCTTCTGTCAGGGCCTCCTGTCTGTCCTGAGCACCAATCAGAGCCTCACTGAGCTAAACCTCAGTGACAACACTCTGGGGGATGCAGGGATGAAGGTGTTATGTGAGATGCTCCAATATCCTGGCTGTAGGATTCAGAGACTACGGTAAGACCCTCAGTGTGTGCGCATGTGTGCACACGTGTGTGTGTGTGTGAGAGAGAGTGAGAGTGCTGGAGGAGGACCTTGTGGGTAGCCCCAACAACGTATCATACCTTCGAGGCCCAAACAATAGAAATTTATTGTCTCACATCCAGGAGGCTGGAAGTCCAAGGTGGAGGTGTCCGCAGGGCTGGCTTCTCCTGTGGCCTCGCTCCTTAAGTGTGGATGGTCATGTTCTCTGTACCCTCATATGGTCTTTCTGTGTGTGTTGGATGTCTTCCCCTTACGAGGACATCGGTCACATTGGACCAGACCACCCTCATGGCCTCATTTTACCCTAATCCCCTCTCCATCTCCAAATACAGCCACAGCCTCAGTCCTGGCTGTTAAGCCTTCAACACGTGAATATTTATGTGAGAATCACAGTCCTGCACCTAAGGAGTGAGAAGGCAGACTGCATCAGAGGCCGGCTGTTCGGGAAGCATTGGATGGGGAAGAACAAAGGAGAACTGAAATTAAGTCACTTTTCGGCGGTGTGACATAAACAGCGTGGCCTTCAGGGTCTCCCATTTCCTCACCGGCCATGCTTGCAGATAAGCCTCTGAGAGTGCCGCCATACATGATGAGGGCTACCTGGGCTGGGACCCATCAGAAACCTTGGTACAGATTGAATTGTCACAGGGTAGCTTTATTACGAAAAGGCTTGCTTTGAGCCACAACGATGGCTGGCTGCCATCTACGTAGGGCGCTCAGTGACGGGCTCAGCAATTGTGGCCTCACTGTGAGCTGGCGAGCCTGACAGCCAGCTTCCCTGTTTGTCCTCGGCTGTTTGGGAGTCCTGATAAGAAGATGCTCTCACAGAACCTTCACCGTGGCATTCCCTCTGTAACATGTATGCACAGTGGCCTGGCTCGTGCTGAAAGCAAGCACGGGGCAGAGGGCAGCTGCAAGCTCGTGTCCTGATGCTTCCTGCTTCTGTGCTTGGCACGCAGGTTGAGGCGCTGTTGCCTTTCCCATCGGTGCTGCTTCGACGTCTCCTCCGTCCTCAGCAGCAACCAGACACTGGTGGAACTGGACCTGAGCCACAATGGCCTGGCTGACTGCGGGGTCAGACTTCTGTGTGTGGGGCTGAGGCACATCTTCTGCAACCTGAGGAAGCTCTGGTGAGTCTGACCTGAGCCCCCTCTTGAGTATGAGCTGTGGCTCCAGTGAGTCCCCATAGACTGGGTGTTACTGGGACAGTGGCTGGGGCTGCTCCACATCCCACTGTCACCTCCAGGTGTTTGTTAGTAGCTCTCGCAATCAGTCTTTGCTGTGGGGAAAGCCACATCCCAAGCCCTGGAGGGGACTCAGCGAAAGAAATCAGATTGCCTTAAGGTAGTCACAGCCTACCTTAAAATAAAACCAGTGTGACAAACTCTAGAAGGGCCCGGGGTCTTTGTGACAAGCCTTTGGTCTCCACGCAAATGGGAAAAGTGGTGCTAACTTAATGCAGACACGAAAGTCTACACAGCCCTTCACTGAATGCTTCTGGGGGACTTGAATTTTGAAGAAGAGAAGAAAGCACTTGAAAACAGTAAGGCCAATTTACACCCATTAGGATGGTTATTATAAAACAAAACAGAAAACAACAAGTGTTAGAATGTGGAGAAATTGGAACTATCATGCACCGCTGGTGGAAGTGTAAAATGGTGCAGCTGCTGTGGAAAACAGTTTGTCAGTTTCTCAAAAAATTAGACATAGAATTACTATATGACCCAGCAATTCTACTTCTGGGTATGTATCCGAGGAGTTGAAATCAGGCACTCTAGCACTTAACCGTGTCTACAACAGCGTTATTCACAGAAGGCAAAAGGTAGAAACAACTCAAGGGTCCATCCGTGGAAGGATGGGCTAAAATATGTAGTATTTACACACATATGGCCCTTTGAGGCAATCTTGACACTCATTACTGCCTGGGAGGACCATGAGAACATTTTGCTGAGAGAAATAAGCCAGATACAACAGGACGCATCATGCGTGACCTGTTTACATAGACTAGGGCACTAGAGGGGTCAGTTTCACAGAGACAGGGAGTGGAGGGTGGTGCAGGGGCTGGAGGGGAGTGGGGACAGGGTGGGAATTACTGTTTAACCAGGACAGAGTTTCAATTTCAGATGATGAAAAAGTTCTGGGGATGACTAGTGGTGATGGGTGCACAGTAGTGTGAATACATTGAATGGGCTGAACTGTGCACTCAAAACTGGCTACAATGTAAATTTTAGGTCCTGTACATTCACCACAGTACAAATCAATGTAGGGAGCCAGAAGATGCATTGCCATAGACTTAGAAGGTTTTTACTTGCTATTACACAAGCAGAAAAGGAAATACAGTTAATGTAGAGCTTCTATGCACTCTTTCTGTGTGGGGACTGGACTAGAGGGGTGACAGGACAAGTGCTTCCTCGACCCACAGCAGAGAGGATGAGAGAGGTGTGGTGACACTCTGCCATCTCTGTGGAAGGTTGGTCAACTGCTGCCTCACATCGGCGTGCTGCGCTCACCTTGCATCGGTCCTGAGCACTAGCCAGTCCCTGACCAGGCTCTACTTGGGGGAAAACGCCCTGGGAGACTCGGGAGTGGGAATCCTGTGTGAACCAGCAAAGCGTCCTCAATGCAGCTTGCAGAAACTGGGGTAAGTCTCTTCATATCTCAGTGGAAAGACAGTGTGTTCTTGGGATGCATTGTATGGCATGCCTGGGCAGATGCTGCTCTGGGAAAGGTTACTCGGGTGGAGAATAAAGGGGACCGTATCCCAGGGGGTTGGGAGCTACTGCCTCCTGCTAGAAGCTGCTTATGGCCACTGGTTTGAGGTTTCTGTGTAGACAGAAACAGCAGACACTTGCATCCCAGCTCCCCATTGAGTAAAACTCTTGCTCCCAGACGTGATGTGCACGGGCCAGCGTTCTGCAGGGGCACTGGCAAGTTGGGCATCGCTGCACAGAGTCCTCTGCAGTGGCAGAGTTCACACCCTGACCCGGCGCCACCTTTGGCCTCTGTGCTTAGGTACTGGTTCTGCTCCCAAGAGCTGCCGGGGAAACCTATCCCCAGAGAAAACACCCTCAGGTCTTTTCGCCTCCTGCCTGGACCTTGCCAAGTCCTCAGTCAGGGTGTGCCTTGGTGCCTCCACCTGTTTAGCCACCTGTCCTACGGCAGGGCTGGTCTGTCGACGTCCCCATTTGCAGTGCGGTGCCCAGACCTGAACTGGAAGCCCCTAGCAAACTCTGGTGGCATTTTGACCTTCCGTGGCTGGTGCTACTGGAGCCTCTGACTTCCTCATATTTTGGCAGTCACATCAGCTCATGAGTTCATGTTGGAATTTTGCAGTAAAAAGTCATAAAAATTCTGGAGTGTTTTCTAACCTCAATAACTAATTCTCTGCAGACACTAGCTGGGTGTCTTACAAGTCAGTTGCATTCTGACATGAACCACCCAGAGTTAGCACAGACCCCACAGGTTAAATACTCAGTCCCACAGACTGCCTTCTCCCTGCCAACATCAGATGTCAACTGCAAATGATGGATTCCTAGGTTACTCACTCTCCTTTCTCACTGTTACAAATTGGAGTTCCCATGACCCCCTCCTCAATTTGAGAATTTCCTAGGATGCCTCACAGCAATCAGAGAAACGTTCTTATGTGTATGTTTATCGTAACAGGTATAATAAAGAATACAAACAGCCAGATGAAAAGACTTGGGAGATGAGATTCACAAGGGCCCACAGCACAAGAGCATCTGTCCCCATGTAGCAGGGGTGTGCCACCCTGCCGGCACCATCCCAGAAAGTCTCCAAATCTTTGTTCAAGAGATTTCTTTAGAGATTAATCTCCAGCCTTCCTCCCTGCTCCTTCCTGGAGATGGGTGGCTGGGGCTGTGTTCCGGCACTGGGCCTTTGTGGTGACTGGCCCCGTTCTGAGGCCATCTATAAGTCCTGTCCATAGCAAAGACTCAGTTGTGATCCAAAGGGGCTCCTTTGAATAGTAAGAGATGCCCCATCACTCAGGAAATCCTGAGGGTTTGGGGAACTCCGTGCCTCCACATACTCTACTTAAAACATTACTCTCCTTCAGCGGTATAGCTTCTGCTACTCTTGGTTTGTTCAACACACATGATCCAGGCACTCTTGGGTCATGTTTGCGGGTGCTGACAGTCACAATGAGTAAAGCAGACTGAGAACCTGTTTTCACAAACATTCTTACAGAGGATGACAGACACGAGACACTAGACAAACCAAATAATATGCAGTATGTGTAAGTAGTATAATAGAAATGGGAGTGACAGCAAAGGGTGCACCCCTGCCCAAGGGTTCAGGGAACGCCTTGCACAGGTAACATGGGAGCAGGTACTGGATGAAGTGAGGATGGAGCCATGAGGCCGTGGGAAGCACTCCATGGGAAGCAGAGAGCCTGGAGAGGCCAGGAGTGCAGCCCCGTTGGCTGTCCGTGGCTGTCCGTGGCAACGCCCTGGCCTTACAGACGCTTGCAAGGCCTCATCTTAGCTGATATCAGTTGCCTTTAGTTGTGTTCATCATCTCCTCCTCGAAGTACTTCTCCCCCGTGTTGGGGCCCCACTAAGTCTTTCCTGTTAATTTTATAGCTTCCTCTAATCTGGGTCCTGCTCTGACGCCTCTTCCTGGGGTTTAGGGATTTCACTGCTGGCTTTCTTTTTTACTAAATGTTCCTACATCCCTTGGAACACTTCATATACTCCTCAAAAACAGTTTGTGTGCAGATGGCACAGAAATTGGTCTTAAACTCAGATATTGCGCAAGAGCATTTTTCTTTTTTAATTGACTTTTATTTTTTAGAGCAGTTTTAGATTCACAGCCCAAACGAGAGGATGGTACAGAACTCTCGCTATACCCCTTGTCCTTCCACATGCACAGCCTCCCTTACTGTCAGTACCCCACCAGGTGGCACGTTAGTTATACCTGATGAACCTACATCGACACATCATCACTACCCAAAGTCCGGAGTTTACATAATGATCCACTCTTGTGTGGTGCATTCTGAGATTCGGACAAATGGATAATGGTGCGGATCTAATACTGCAGCACCATACAGAGTAATTTCACTGCCAGCCCTCCCCAATTTGGTGTTTGGCCTGTTCATACCTCCCACCCCCAATTCCCTGGTAACCACTGATCATTTTAAAGTTTTTTAAAAAGTAAGATTTTTCCTTTTCCAGAATGTCGTATTGTTGGAATTGTACAACATGTGGCCTTTTCATATCAGTTTTTTTTTTTTTAACTTGGTCATATGTATTTGAGTTTCCTCTGCATCTTTTCATGACTTAATAGCTCATTTCTTTCAAGCATTACTGTTCCAATGTCTGGATGTACCGGTTTATTCACGTGCTGAAAGACACCTTGGTTGTGTCCAAGTTTTGATAATTATGCATAAAAGTACATGTGCAGATTTTTGTGTGGATGTAAATTTTTAGCTCCTTTGGGTAAATACCAAGGAGCACCACTGGTGGATCGTGTAGTAAGAGCATGTTGACTTTTATAAGAAACCGCCACGTCTTCCAAAGTGACTGCACCATTGTGCATCCCCACCAGCGGGGTGAGAGGTCCTGTCGCCATGCGTGCATCCTTGCCAGTGTTTGCTGGGTCACTGCTCCAACACTGGCCACTCCAGCAGTGTGCAGTGGTGGCTCACTGCCTGAGGACATTTGAAGTACAGCATCTTTTCACATGCTCATTTGCCATGTGTGCATCTTCTTTGGTGTCTGACTCATTTTTTAATCAGGCTGTTTGTTTTCTTGTTAGATTTTAAGAGTTAAAAATTTTTTTTTTTGGATAAGTCCTTTATCAGATATATCTTTGCAAATATTTTCTTCCAGCGTGTCTTGTCTTTTCATTCTCATTTTAATGAACTCCAGCTGTCAGTTACCTAGCTCCTAGATCATGCCTTAGTATTGTATTTGAAAATTCATCACCAAACCCAAGGTTCACTGGGTTTTCTCTTTGGTTACCTTTTATAGTTTTACATCTTACATTTAGGTCTTTAAATAATGTTCTTATACTTTCTTTTTTTTTTTTTTTGCAATTAGAGTTGACATTCAATATTATTTAATATTAATTTTAGCTGTACAGGATAGTGGTTAGACATTTATATAATTTATGCAGTAATCCTCCCAATAAATCTAGTCCCCACCTGGCACCACACACAGTTATTACAATATTATTGACCATATTCCCTATGCTGTGCTTCACATCCCCATGATTATTTGGTAACTGCCAATTTGTACTTCTTAATCCCTTTATCCTTTTCACCCAGCCCTCCAACACCCATCCCATCTGGCAACCATCAAAACGTTCTCTGTATCATGAGTCTGTTTCTGTTTCGTTTGTTCATGTATTTTGTTTTGTTCTTTAGATTCCACGCATAAGTGAGATCATATGGTATTTGTCTTTCTCTGTCTGACTTATTTCATTTAGCATAATACTCTCTGGCTCCATTCATGTTGTCACAAATGGTAAAATTTTATTCCTCATTTATGGCTGAGTAATATTCCTTTGTATATATGTACCACCTCTTCTTTATCTATTCATCCATTGATGGACACCAAGGTTGCCTTCGTATCTTGGCTACTGTAAATAATGCTGCAGTGAACATAGGGGTGCATAGATCTTTTTGAATTAGTATTTTGGGTTTCTTCAGGTAAATACCCAGAAGTGGAATTCCTGGGTCTTTCTTTGTCTCTTGTTATAGCTTTCATTTTAAAGTCTATATTTCTCTTATAAGTGTTGCTGCTACTCTATCTCTCTGCCCCTCCATTTTCATGAAATACTTTTTTTTATCCCTTTACTTTCAGTCTGTGTGTATCTTTCCATCTGAAGTGAGTCTCATAGGCAGCATTTGTAAGGGTCTTGTTTTCTTCTCCATTTAGCCACCTTATGTTGTTTGATTGGAGAATGGAATCCATTTACATTTAAAGTAATTGCTGATAGATATGTGCTTATTGTAACTTTATTGTTCATACTCTTCTTCTTCTTCTTTCTTTTTCTTCTCGAAGAAGTCCCTTTGACATTTTTTAAAATAGTGGTTTGTTGACTGAGCTTTTTCGTGTCTGGGAAGTTCTTTACCTGTCCTTCAATTCTAAATGATAGCTTTGCTGGATAGAGTAATCTTAGTTGTAGGTCCTTATTTTTCATCACTTTGAATATTTCCTGCCAGCCCCTTCTGACTGCAATGTTTCTGTTGAGAAATCAGCTGACAGTCTTATGGGAACACCCTTGTAGATAATTAACTGCTTTTCTTTTGCTGCTTTTAAGATGCTCCCTTTGTCTTTAAACTTTGGCATTTTAATGATGATGTGTCTTGGTGTAGGACTCTTTGGATTCATCTCATTTGGGACTCTCTGCTCTTCCTAGGCATGTATGTTTATTTCTTTCACTAGGTTAGGGAACTTTTCAGTCATTATTTCTTGAAATAGGTTTTCGATTCCTTCCTCTCACTCTTCTCCTTCTGGTACCCCTATGATGCAAATGTTGGTACACTTGATGCTGCCTCAGAGGCCCCTTAGACTATCCTCATATTTTTGGATTCCTTTTTCTTGTTGCTGTTCTGATTGGGTGTTTTCTGTTACATTATCTTCTAAATCACTGATTAAATCCTCTGCTTCATATTGT